TCTGCTTTCAAGAGAATGCTTAAACCTTGTAATTTAGAGCAAAGGTGGTCAGTGGTCTATGTAGCGCTGATGGTCTCGGAAATAAGATAAATTTCGAAGATAAGAGCTTCGCATTGGAGCTAAATGTGATTTGGACTGATCATATTTCAGAAATCATCGTTCAAGCACTTTCTGAATAGTGCGCAGTATTCTTGACGTGGTTAAAGTATCAGCTCACGTCTCTGGTGCATAATACAGCGGTGGGGGTACTGTTGTATCAGCAAGGCGAGCGCTGATTTTTGGGTCCTTTAGTTGGTCAGTGTCTTCCTTGAGAGGGTGGAATGCAGCTCATGCAGCTCTCCTTCTTCTGTCTAATTCCTCTTTCGTGTTGTTCTTCACGTCCATTGTACTACCAAGATACACGCACATGGTGTTCTCTACAATCGGAGAACCATCCAATTTTATCTTTTCACCCTCGCACCATAGGTTTTCTTATGAAGTTATGCTTCTTCCGATTTATGCGTGATCCGATCGCTCCCATCTCTTCGTTGTACTCATTGGTCATCACCTCTTCTTCGTTGGTATTTTTGAGAGAATGACGATGTCGTCAGCAAAACGAAGATTTGATAGGAATTTTCCACCAGTATGTATGCCTTTTTGATCTCTATCGAATGTTTTGATTCTTTGATTGGACCTTTGGAAGGCCTTTGATTCAGTTGAGATGGAAGCAGTTTTGGAAGCCCTTGATAGTCAAGGAGTCTCCTGCCCTAACGTATGCGTAAGAAACCTGGTCGCTGCGTAAGCAGGACGAAAGGTCACCCAGCGTCATCGAACGCGCAGTCGAAAGGACGATGCTAGGAGTACCCGTTCCACGCAAGTAAGGGATAGGATCCGAAGCTCCGATCTGCGTCAACGATCAAAAATCAAAAGATGCCGTTCTGTACGCCAAACAGTCGAAGATAAGGTAGTCCGGACACGTAATGCTTATGAATGACAACCGATGGACAAGAGCCGTTAGTGACTGGATTCCTCGGGATGTCAAACGTACTGCAGGAAGACCACCGACCCGATGGGTAGAGGTCTTCACAAAGAGCCTTGAAAAAAGATATGATGCTCGACGAGTCTCTAGAGAGAGCAGAACCCACTGGGCTACTCCTGCACCCGACAGGGAAAAATAGAAGATTTACTGGCGCATGCTCGAGTCACTCGACGATCAACGGTCTATCTACATCTACGATCTACAGGTGACAGGTACAGGTGACTGCAACGTCGCAGTAAACAGCCTTCGCGATATGGTGTCGTTGTCGAATCCCTTTTTCTATGGGTATGGTAAGACTCCACGGATCTCCCTCATATGAGGGATCCCGATAGCTGGTTAGTTGCGAGGCTACCTGGCGCCTCCCCAGGTGGCGGTTAGGGGGTTAATGGCGGACCAAAGTGGCCTTTGCTTCCCTGAGACACAGGCAGATCAAGGGGATAGACTCCTTGTTTTTGCTGCTCCGATTTGGCACATACTTTCTGTATTTGTTAGGCGTATTCATGCATGCGTGTGTGGGTGCGTTCTTGCTTATGCGGATTGTATTCTACGAGTCAATTTGGCCAAAAACCAGCAATCAAGTGACAGGAAAGCATGTAGGAAGCGGTTAGGAGTCGCTTCCAACAAATAAGCTTCATGTCCACTTTGGAAGAGCCTTGCAAGCTACCCATGAGTATACCCAGCACCCACGTTCATAGTCCTGCAAGCTATACGTGGGTATCAAAATGCTAAACAAAGTAAAAAAAAACGAGCCTCATTCCCCTGAACCAAAAGAGCCCCCAATTTCGCAGCGTTGGGTAGGACGAGTACGGAGAGGCTGCTAAAATCTCAGGGCCAATGGAAGCTGCCTGGATTTCAAAGAACTATGGTGGCGATCTGTACCTACAATGCACGTACACCTGCATCCAAGTCCTCGACAGAAGAGTTGGTCATGCAAGCAAGTAGGATAAAATACGACGTCATCGGCCTGGCGGAAACGAGACGACGCCGCCCATTGAACGCCATCTATGACACCAGAGAAGAACTGTTTCCCGGAGCATACGACAGTAGAGGAGTCGGCGGCGTCGGCGTTCTCGTCAACATGAGTTTGTCCACGAACATCGATCCATTCGAACAAATAACAACCCGAATCGGACGTTTGCGATTAAAAGGATATGGATCAGTACTGGCTTTGACAATCTTCGCCGTTTACGCGCCGACATCAAACTATGACGAAGAAGAAATCGAAGCGATTTATATGGACTTGGAGAAGTTCTACAGAGAAGACCATACACTGTTCAATGTCATCATTGGAGATTTCAGTGCCAAGATTGGACCAAGAAGAACGCCTGAAGAGCGTCCACATTGGGACCCATGAATTGGAATAGAACGACTAGGGTGATCGGCTTTCTGATTTTATCATGGCGATCAAGACCGTCCATGGTAACTCGCAATTCCAGAAGCCCCACCCTGAACTCTTGACGTGAGAGTCTCCCAATGGAGAGTACCATAACGAAATAGACTACATCATAGTAAATAGAAGATTTTGCCTAACCGATATTTCTGTTGTCCCAAAATTTTACACGGGATCGGACCACCATCACCTTAGTGTAAGATTCTATTTCTCGTGGAAAGGAGAAAAAGCCGCTAAATTCCAAAAACCGAGGTCCCAGAACCACCGCAAACTGAGACTTATTCATTTCATTAGTCGGCTGTTCGGAGGATGCCGTTGTCGATAACATCGACGAAGAATACGATCGGCTCATTCAATATCTTCACGTTAGCGCTACGAAGGCTGAAGTTCGAAAGTCACCAAGAGATGTCTGTCTCCAGAAACACTCAAACTCACACGCCAGCGTGGAATCGCACGAGCTGCTGGCAACAGCGAACTAACGTCCGAACTTGCAAAACAATGCAGATAGGCGATAAAAGAAGATCTTAAAGAGAGAAGAGCAGCAGTGATGGTCGAAGCTGCAGAGGCTGTGAAAAGCATTCGCAAAGCCCACCGAAGCTTCGCCAATTATAAGACCAAGATGATTGCACTCCGACGCCTATGCGGAACAGTTACAGCGTCCAGAAAGTTAATGGAGAAAATCATTCACTAATACTATTCAGATCTCTTCCATAGCCACTTCCACCTCCCGTCATATGAAATAAGGGAGGATGAGTAGACATGTTGTACCACCGGTTCTCCCTACCGAAATTCGACATGCCATTTCGTGGGTGAAAATAAAATCTTGCAAAAAGAAGGCGACGGTCTGATCCCGTGTAGAATTTTGGGACAACAGCTATATCGATTGGGCAAAACCTTTGATTTACTATAATGTGGTCTATTTCGTTATGGTCCCCTACATTCGGAGACTCCCACATCCAGCGCTGAGGGTGGTGCTTTTGAAATTGAGGGTTGTCATGAATGGTCTTGTTCGTCGTGATAAACTTAGACAGCCACTCATCGTTCTCGTTTCATACTAAACCGTCTGTCGCAATGAGACGTTTTTCTGGGTCCACTCTTAGCTTTAAGATCTCCAATGATAACCTTGAAGGATATATAGTCTTCTCCATAGAACTTCTCCTAGTCATATAGAAAGCTTCAACTTCTTCTTCGTCAGAGTTTGAAGCCGGTGCATAAACAACGATCATGTCAAAGCCGATATTTCTCCACATCTCTTTAATCGTAAACGTGCGATTCGGGATGTTAGTTTTTCTAATGAGTCGTTGTTCATGGCCAAGCTTGTGTTGACGATGGCCCCGAAAGTTGAGTTGAGGAGCAGCTTGGTAAATGGCAATTATGATAGCATCACCTTCATATTCGTTTTACCCAATGCTGCTGAATCATGGACTCTTTCAGGGTCAGGGGAATGAGGCTCGTTAATTTTACTGTTTAGCTTCCTGATACCCACGTGTAGCTCTGATCTTGCTGAGCTCTGAACATGGAGGCTGGGTATAGGTTAGGTAAGATTAGTGATATATCGTTAATTATGATTGTGTTCTGAGATATAAGGACGTATACGGAAATATGTTCACAATCGGCGACGATTTGTGTTGCAATCAAATGCGGCAAGGCAGAGATATGAGGACAGTACGATGAATCACCACTACTACATGGACGCTTTTTGCTCCGGCCGCCATTGTGCCGCACCTGCGATCTGTAGCGAGACTGTACTTTATTTCATTTATCCAACCATATTTCCTCCGTCAGCAGTGTTCAGATCCCGTATGCATAATAAATGAGTTGAGGAGCAGCTTGGTAAATGGCAAGTGTGAGTGTGGCAGTGCGAAACGTCAGCGTGAACGTAACCGGTTAGTGCGATAAATAAACAATCTTGTTGCCGTGAATTTCACTCGTCCGGGTCACACGACTGATGATGAATATTTTTCCTGACTGCTCTGTGTTTATTGCTTGGTTACCACAACACTCAGTGACGATAGGGATATACTCTTAGACGAACATCGCTTCCCCACTGCCAACACAGCTCCAGGAATTGTTGAGGAGAAGGAAGGGATGGAAAAGGTTGTTACAAAGAGACATGAGGTTGTTACGGTGCATATTTGTCTTCTCCAGAGCCGGATAGATCCAAGGATTGTCTACAGCCGTTCGTTCTCGCAATGCGGGTCTTCGTGGTTGCATCGAGCAGAATCAGTGCAGCGAAGCACTGCTTGAATAGGAACCTTACTTCACAGCGCATTATAGGGTGCCTTTTTCTGACGGCCCATTGAAAACTAATTACAAATGTTTATGAAGAAAATCCATCCTACTGCAGTTGGTGTTATATCAACAAGCAAAAAAAGCATAGAGATTACAGAAAAGACATTGAATATCAACGAAATCTCAGAATATGAAGTAATATCATTGCTCAAAGCAATAAACTTATTCGATTAGAAAGGAATAATTGGCTACGACATGGTTCGAGCAAGAGCATGATTTCGGACGTGGCCAATTAAAATAAGTCCTTTAGAGAGATTCTAGATGCTTTTTAACAGGTTTTTGAACATGGTTGAATCTAACATGGTTGCGTCAGTACTTCAGATTAACTCTCACTGCTACCTCAAAGGTGTTGTGCTACTGGAAACGCTGGAGACAATGGTCAGTGAGGACTACATGCTGGCAGTCATTCGCAGTCTTGTGGCCACAAAAACTTCATTTGACCTGGAAAACTTGCTGTTTTACTTCGACGACATCGCTGTTGACGTCAATGTTACCCTTGCACAGGTGTGCTGCAGTATAATATCCGATCACATTAAGTCGTAATGTATTGGTATCTAAACTACAAAAAAACCCTTTTGCTACTGAGGAATTTCGAATGTCGGCTTGAAAACCTTTTTAATAAGATAAAGTAATGGTCATTTTTACGTAAGAGATGCCACCTGACGGCAATGCGATGCGATGTATAGATACCTTGTGCGCACTTTTGGAATATTGTACAAAATTGCACATTATATATATATATATACATATATATAAATATATAAAGGATAAAGGTCTCGGCGTCAATCAATCCCTGAGAGATGTGCCATGCATTCGACTTCATTGAGCATCGTTGAAGGTGATTGAATGCATATCTGGTCTTTACAATGACTCGCGGTGGCCTACCGCTGTATCGAGTCAGTGCTGCTTTCCTCCCAGACAAGTCTGATACAAATTTGCCGACCCCGGAAGGATGGAAGGCTTGGTGAGCCATGGGCGCGGGATCGATTCCACGTGTGTGTCGCGGTGGCGCCTCCAACCACTGCACCACACGCGCTCTATATATGCATATATATATATATATGTATATATGTATGTATGTATTATGTATGTATGTATGTATGTGTGTATAAATGTAGTTGCTCAATCCTATTTACTTCACTATCATGTGGACATCACTGCGCTGTCAACATGCATGCAATCAGCTTAACCGAGTTCTTTTTTCACCGTGGAAAAACCCTATTCTTCTAGGTTTACAAGTTTTGGTTTACCACTGGCGGATTTCCAGCGATCAAAGTGTCCAGCAATGTGCCAAGTATTGAACTGCGACAGCTGAGCGAATTTCCATGGCCACTTTGGCTCTCATCTTATCAGCCACTACCGCGATTTATTTTTGCAAAAACAATCAGTCTGCCACCGAAGGACGGGCCGATGCTTATTAATCTCAACTTCACCTCTTTCCTCAGGGTTAACTACGATCCAGTCACTTGGACAAGCATATTCAGGTGTCGTTTGCTTAATGTGGTCATGAAAGCAATCACGTAGCTCTCGTTGGAAGTTTAGCTTCCATAAACGTTTGTTTTCCTCACAGCCTTTTTGGTCGAACATGATAAACGATCATCACATTGATGCTGAGATATTTACAAGACTTCGGATTACAGGTGTCTGCGGTGGGGAACGAACGCACTATTACCCCTTCTGGGGGCTAACGCGTTAACCAGAGTTTTGCAAATATCTCAGCATCGTTGTGGTTGTACTTCGCATAATACTCTGCTGTGAAAATTGTAATGGGCGGAAAACAAAAAATAAACATTGTAATTTAAACTACAGCCTCAGCTTAACAGGGTCCAATGCCGAAGTGGGCTCCCCACATCAATCTGGTTGACGGATGATTGCTGATCGCACCTATAGGTTAAAATTCAGCCGACAGAAAGACGAAACGAAGGATGTGGTGGTGAACATGTTAGGCGTCGGAAAGGGTAATAGCGCGTTCGTTCCCCACCGCAAACACCTACGGTCCGGAGTGTTGCGAATATCTCAGCATCATTGTGGTTGTAATTCGCACAATAGCTTGCCGCGAAAATTGTATTAAGCAGGAAATGAAAAGTAAACATTGATCACCACACTACTTTTAGGCAGATGCAACCTATCATTAGGTTCCATCGGAAACTACAGAATTTAATGTCATACATGTTCATATATATACTACATAATTTATTAGAAATTCAGCCTGATGGACGACCACCCGGAACTGTTCTCAACCCTCGGCCGTGCTCAGCTCATAACCGACTTCTGCTATTTCTATGCTCGTGGAGATGTAGACAATGGGATGGAAATCAGGGAAATCGTTGTGGAGATGGTGAACTACAGCGTACATTTCTATATATATTTATATTTCTGCTAACACTTATAGTTGTGCTTTCAATTGGATAATGAATAGAAAGCGTTGATTTATCCCTCGGACCTGCGCGATGCATTTGACTATTTGACTTTATTAAACATCGTAGAAATAATTGAATCCATATCCTGGCTTGCATTTGCAACACCGTATCTATGTTCAAAGTCAGTGTTTCTATGCTTCCGGAAAAGTCTGACATCAACTTTCCAATACCAGTTCAAAGGCTCCGGCCCATTGATGTGAATCCGTCTTCTTTACTGGTTCCTAGTTTCAATTGTCTTTCCTTTAGACCTCCCTGCAAAATCTGCTGCTGTGCTATATTTTACACATAATTAATTTTTTCATAATGCGTTTTTTGAAGTGAATTTTCCTTTAATCATTTACTAGATTCTAAGGACTACCATGAACCAGAATTTGATAGAGCAAAGCACATCCTCAACTTCTGGAATTTGTTCTAAACCTCTTCCACTCAAAGGCAAATTCGTTTGCTAATTCTTCAGAAGAGGCAATATAGCAGCATGTTTTTATAGTAGACTTGATGGGAACACTCACTGTTTACCCAGATTAATGTTTGTTAATTTTCAAAAAAGCCAGTTGATATATTCGAACTGAGGTGCTGGAATTTCGACAGTATTGAAACAAAGTATGGTTGATGGGCGCACGTAGCGCAATGGTGAAAGGTGCTCTGCAATAGAGAGACGACTTTTAGTACGACCAACGACCAGGGCGATGGGAAATCATAAGATTTATCATTTTGGGGTTAGAGGGATGCTACTGGACTTGTCCATTAGGACAAAGACATAGCTGGACACATCGATAGGCTACTGTGAGTCACTGCATAGTCCAAACACACATTCACTGCGATGCTTGATGAGTCGTGTGCATGGCTCATCTCTCAGGAATTAACCAACACTGAATGTTTTATTCTTAATGAGGTTGATGTGTGGATCAAATTTAATTCGCAGTAGATGTATAACTTTCTTTAAATTTAAAACTGTTGAAATTCTTAAAATCTTGGAAAAATTAGAATTTTGAGGGTTTAATTTCAGGTTTATCGCAATTCGGAGTTGTTCGAATTGTGTGACTGGCACTTGCTTTGGTGTCATTCAACCCTGCCGTCATCTCTAAGGCAGCTGCTTCAGCAAGTAGCACTTAGAGCGTTTAGTCTGTTCGGCACTAACGCGGCGTTTGGTTGTCGTACTGGTTTGGCTGCCCGCGACCTCAACGCCATTTGTAGCCGTGTCTTTACCACGACATGTATCTGAAGATGCAAAGGAAGTAAACCGATGTGAGAATGGTGATTCTTTTTATCATTTTATCCATTAGAGTAACGACAACGACAACTTGTACCAACTTCGTATCAATTCAACAATTACTTCGTTCGTTTTTATTCGATTTTCAGCGCTTAGATAAGCACACTGAGTCCTAATAGCCATTGATACTCGAGAGGGCGGTTGCAGAGCTTCATCCATCATTTTTCGGCTGCCTCTATCTCCGTTTATTTTGAACTGATTATTTTATTCCCATGTCGCGAGGCGAAATCTATCCAGACAGTCCCATCCGCACACGCAAGCTTTTGAATCTGTGGCATATGCTAGAATAGAGATCCACATTAATATCATAACTACTTCGTTTTGAGCAGGGTGATCTTGTCAAAAACGTTGTCAGATTCTAAAAATGTCTATTTGTTCTTCACTGCCACAAAAATGTTAGCCACGATTTTCTTAAAAGTATTCTAACGCACATAGCTCAAAAATGTTGAGGTATATGAATTGTTGCTAAATACCTCAATCAATTAATCTCTTATTCTAAAAGTCGATTTAAACCTATATTGCAACCGACTGCTGTCTCTAACCGATGCTTCCTTCGTCTGACCTTTCGACACAACATTCTCGAATGCCGACAATCTGTTCATCCTGGCTGTTTTCGAGTGTTTTTTATAGTGGAAAGTGTCTTTTGGGTGTTCGATATTCCAATATTCGGTGATAAACTTGTTTTTTATTGTTCGGAATTTATTCGTTATTTCTCAGAAACTCGGAAGCTCCACTTCTAAGATAAGATAAAAGGAGGCACAAGATATGCAGCAGTTAAGTATGTTGTCTAATAGTGCATTCATGGCAGTTAGATGGTTCTCCCTAGAAACAGACAGGCCTCTCGTCCCTCTGCGTTCGGTAAATTAGTACAGAACTTCCCTGGGAACGCTCCTTCTGACTCACAAAGGCCTACGAGTGACTGTTATGGAGCCCTGGAAACGCTCTAACAAAGCGCTGTAAGGATTCCGGTGACGGTTAACTCAACTATCTTTTTAGCAACAGTCACGCAGAAGGCAAAGTCAATAATTGGCATGCACAACCGCACGCAAATCCGAAGCCTTGAAGAATGATGGGTCGGAGATAAGGAATTGAATGGGAGAAGGACTGGACTGTGTACAGTGCGTGAAAGTTGGGTCATATAAATGAAGATATGTAAGCTGTGCTTGTCCGATGGATAGACTAGTACATAATTTGTTCCTTTTAAATGTTATGAAGAAAGCTCAACTTCCTACAATTGTGTCATCAATAGGTTAATACGACTCGTACCTTGCAACTCACAGAAGCAATGATGGAATTGGACCTTTGCTTTAACAGTTATCAAACGACCTTCATAGAAAAAAACATGTTATGAACATAGAAGAAATACTTTCAGTTTTAAGCCAAAATATTTAAACTCGTGGTAGGATTTATCCACCGTAGCAGGAAACTTTGGAATAATTAATAAATCTTAATAATCTTAATCTAAATAATAGCAGGACAAAACTTTGACTTGACATAATGAAATGGTGGTTTTCTGGAGCTCACGTTTTGCCGTTTTCCTTTGTCGATACTCACATTTCTTTTATATGAACACGAGATAAAATTAGTGGGATTTCGGCCAGCCGAGCATGGTGGTGCATCATTGCACGGCGTTGCTTCTTAAGGCTACCGCGTCTGGATGGAAAACTTTAACAGGTTAAGTTTCGTTTTCAATTTTTTAGAAAATTGATCCTGAAAAGCTTGGTTCTAGATAAATTTAAAATTCGAATAATAAATTGTAAAGGATTGTATATGTTCTTGGCAGAAAAGCAGAGTTCGTTCTATAAGTCTGCAAAGTTTCTAACTCTAATGCTGCTATATTGTTGGAGAAATTATCGTGTTTCCCCGAGAACCAGCTTCATCGTTTAACGATTAACGGAATCCCCATTGTTTCGATCTTATTTTTCACCTTTTCCACTTCTCAAGTCTTCCTCTTAATACTGTTTGCTTATGTGAAGTCTTACCGTCTTGTAATGCTTCCAATTTTTAGTGTTACAATGATGGAGATGGAAGTTGCTATCTGTTGTAGCTTTTTATAGCCTTAGTGTGACTTACCAGCGAAGAAGCTTTCTTCTTCTGGCGTCACGCTGCACTCAAGATACCTCCTCAAATGCGAATCACAAATTCCACCATATAATAAACCGCATGGTTGATAAACATGGAAAAGTCGTATAAGGCCAAAAGATTGCCTCAACACATCGTTGATGTAAATGATGGTGAAGTTATAGCACACAATTAGGAGTAATCTAGTTACGATAGCTTTATGAAACAGAAAGATTAGCTTCTTACTGACAACAGTGGCTCAGAAAGTGCTCGATGTGAATACAGAATTCAATGATTCATTCAAGGAGACTTGAGAAGATTTAAGAAAGATTGCAAGAAGCGAAGATTTAAAGTGAAGGTGTAAGTAGGAGGAGACGACGTCGGGTTCCAAGCAAACTTCATATAGAGTTCTGCTGTGCCCCAGATAGCAATCACAATGACGTTCTCAGCAAGTCACTTTCGAGTAAACCGCAATATTTTTACAGCCTTATTGACATTGATGGCAAATTGAACGGGAAAGTAGCTGCGAAGTAATTTCTCAGTCTGTGCTCGGAGAATACAGGGGATCGAGATGTCACACCGAATACTTTACAAAACGCTTCTTCATCACTTTTCATGATTAAATTTGTGATTTCGCATCACTACATCGTACGGCACAGGCACTATTTGGCAGGAAATTCTTCCCTTTCTCATCATGGATGAGTGTTGTAAGCTCTACCACCTCCGACCACCTTTTAGCCGTGAGGAGCCAATTTTAACACAGTTGCGACAACATGAATTCATTTTCTCTCAGACGGTGTTAAATGTGTAGATATGTCGTTGCCTTTCAAATGTGAAGGAAGAAAGCTCATAAAATAATAACGAGAAAGCATTCGGCGTTGTTCTTCGTCGCTTTTCTCCTTTTTTTTTCTTTGCTTTAGAATAACACTGATATTTCGGGCCTATTACAACTACAGATTAAAACCATAACTGGCAGGACGTCGATACACCACTGAGGGACAGCGCCCTACAATACACATGGTATCGATCCTCGCGCCCAACGCTTACCAAACCTCCCATCCTTCCGGGATCGGCAAATTAGTACCGGACTTGTCTGGAAGGATAACAACACTAGCTCGATATATCTGTAGGCCATGGCGAGTCATTGTAAATGCCAGATGTGTATTCAATCACTTCCAACGATGCTTAATGAAATCGAATGCATGGCGCATCTCTTAGAGATTGGTCAACACCGAGAGCTTTTTTTAGCTTTATACGGCATTGAAGTGAGGAAGTTTGGCTAGACTATGATACTTGCTTTCATTCGCAAGTTAGTTCTGATTTTCCACATCAGGAAGGTAGTTTCTCGACGATAACATGTCAGAGAACATTTTGTCAGGTAACTCAATGATTTGGTTTGCCACTAAGGGGCAGTGCAATATGGTGTTGCAGAAAATCGTATACTAGACCAACAAAGTACACAGAAAGTGCAAGATTAGTGGTTGAAATTTGAAGATCTATAGTAATGCTACGATATTACTCCGTGCAGGTCCAATTATGACCCCTTCCCCAAATGAGGAAATGTGCATCAGACACAAGCTATCAGAAACTTCTATATCAAGTGGAGACATGCGGGTTATGATGGAGATATCAGAAAAAACCACACAATCTTGTGCACACGCTTGAGATTTATGATGAACACACTTCTATCTTTTCAAAGGTGAATTCTTTTTGAAGGTCTCTATGGTGAAGAATGCATTGATTTGGAAGCATTATAGATCAGCCACTTCAATCTTTAAAACAGTGGCATAATCCATCGTTAGCTACGAAGGATGTGGATGGGTGGAATTGTTACAGGATATTAGTATGCGTCTACAAATCAACGACGAACCTTGTATACAGCTTACGAATTGAAGGGGCATACGGCGTTCTCAAAACTACATCGATGAGGATCATGAAGAACATGTAAAATGAAATGATTACAAACAATAGATAACAGCGATTTCTCAATCTCAAGCAGATATGGCCGTTTGCAAGGATGTTTTGCTATTCTGTCGTCCTGTTGATCATCAGTTGACTAGAGCAGTCTCCGATAAATTTTCCATTCGTCCTTGTAGTGAGCAATCAGTGGGTCCTGCTCGCTCTAGGGACTCGCCAAACATCATACTTCCTTCCAGGGGTTTTTTTTTTAAGAACTCTGGCCATCGAGACGACTGTCATCCTGTTATGCGTGTGGCATCTCAAGGGATCTTTTCGCTAAAGACATTTGTACACCAGTTGACATTTAGATACGTTACCTTTGCAGCCCACCTAACAGCCAGCAGTTTGGCTATTTTAAATTTATAACGACGTCTACAATTATTAATGATTGAACTATTTCAGAACTTTGGATTCACTCCTTCGCTTGTTGAATAAAGCTACTCCCAGCATGGTTCACGACCCTGCTTTCGATAACGCTGAGCGATCCTTCATCTTGCTTACGTAGTTAATCAATCTCCAAAGCGAGCAACGTATCACGTGTTCTTATTCCTCTTCACTATGCGTGAGATTTTTCACTAGTATGCGATATTCTCTTTCTGAAGATAAAGTGTAATGTGGATTGCGAGAAATAAATGCAGTTTGTGGCCATCAGCTCTAAGGGAATCGACGATGACATTATCGGGTCAACGCGGCTGGTTTTTCATTGAGGGGATTTCGGGGCCCGAGATGGGAATTGGGATCGGAGAAGGTTGCTACAGAACTTTTTGGCTATCAATTCCACATGGTAGCGGGTTGTAGTGATAGTCCCGTCTTCGTTCATCGGGGCGGATACCGGAACATTATAGTCGCAAAGATCCTCACCACACTTATTCAGTCTGGATCGTTTTTGAGCCGCTTCCTGCAACTTTTTATGCCCATACAGATATTCACAC